ATAGATTAAAGAAACTAAACTTGCATTCCCTAGAAAGACGAAGAGTGCGGGGAGATATGATAGAAGTATTTAAGTGGCTGAAAGGAATCAATAAAGGAGATATAGATAAAGTTCTCATAATATCCGAGCAGGATAGGACGCAAAGCAATGGATTTAAGTTGGATAAATTTAGGTTTAGGAGGGAGATAGGAAGGAACTGGTTCACAATTAGGGTGGTAGACGAGTGGAACAAGCTTAGCAACTTTGTAATAAGTGCTGGAAGGCTGGAAATTTTTAAAGGAGGCTAGATAGATTCATGGATGATAGAGAGTGGTTGTAACTCTAGACAGGAGCTGCCATGCACAGGCCAACTGGCTTATTGCAGACTCCTTATTTTCTTATGTTCTTCCATGCAATTGCCTTATTCTCAATCAGGACAATGACTCTTCTATACCTTAAAAAAAACACACAAAAAAGTGGAAACAGATACCTCCCAAGTTTTGAATATTTGTATTTCCCTTTGGTGGTTGTTCCTGTTCTTATGTATACTTATGTGTTTCTATATCAAAGGTCTTTAGGCACATAAACTAATTCAGTCCTTTCACATGAAAAACTGCTGTTAACATTGTTTAAAGATATATCTTCCTCTTCAACAATAATTCCTCCCATCTCTCTCACACTAATTGAGGATTAATTAGTAGTTTCTTTATTGTATTATTGACTGCATTCATTGGGCATCATCTTAGCACAGAGCTCATACTGTTATCTCTGCATCGTTCCAATTCTTACTGTAGAGGCAAATACCCACCTCCTCTTGTCCTTAGGTGAAAACATCAGGAAGATTTATGAATTATCAGAGAACTTTCAAGCAAGTGAAGGAAATGTAGTTACAATACTAATTAATCATTAGACTACATAAAACCAATAGGTATGATTAATAGAAAATAACAGGAGTTACCTAATGTAATTCACCCTAACAATAGCCAATATTTTAGAATATTTATTCTCGCTTTTTACCCTAGACTCAAAAATAATGGTTTATACTATTTCATATGCACTTGCTAACAATCTTATCACACCCTACCATAATCCTTGGTATATTACAATTGGGGTGGGATACTTAGCTTTTGTAGTACTGTATACATTATAAGCTGTCCAGGGGAACCAGTCTGTAGGTGTGCACACACTGGCATATGGTTTGGAATTGGATAAAAGATGTAGGTTGGTTCTGAAACGAGATGGAGGAATTACCATTATTATGGCAAGTAGCATATTGGTTGGTCCTGAATGGCCTTAACAAGCTCTCCTACCTCCAGATTTCTTTGCAATATACCTTTATAAAACTTGTACCATTTTCCCATTATAACTTGATGGCATCATTTCTTAAGCTTAAAAGATTGTGGTCAGGGGTAAAACTTATCATTTTTAAAAGCTGAATATTTAAAAAATTAACTACTTATTAACATGCAATATAAAGTAGTGGTGCCGAAATAACATTTTATGATGATTTACCAAAATTACATTAATAAGTTCAAAGTTTAAGTCTAATAAAATTATTCATCAATTTCAGAACTATAGTTCTGATTGAAATATCACAACAATAGTATCACATTATTTGATGACAGTTCATTACTGTACATTGTTTATTGTCATTATAGAGCTGCTGGTCCGGTTTATAACCTCCTTCATGCATGGGATACATTAATGAATCTTTCATAAGCCTTGTTTCATAATTAGTTCATATCCTCCACTGTATAAAAAATGAAAATTTAGTACAGTAATATTAAAACAACTACAGTACAGGGTAGTTTGGAAATTAAATTTTCCTGTCTTGCCCATTTTGATAACCAGACCTATTACTGGAACATCTGCCAGTTGAATCATCTCATTTACTTAACAAGCTAAGCTTTGTAAGCGTGAAACAATTATAGGAATGAGTCTTTAATACTGTACTTAGAAAAAGATGTGGTACATTATTAGTCCTAAGAACTTTCCTATCAGGGTGAAAACAGTATTTAACCATAAGTATCATATCCAGATGCTAATGAGTTGGATAATGAAGTATTGCACATAGTCATGGTTCTTCTGTATATATATATATATATATATATATATATATATATATATATATATATATATATATATATATATATATATATATATATATATATATATATATATATTATTATTATTATTATTATTATTATTATTATTATTATTATTATTATTACACCACCACCACCACCACACACACCACCACCACACCACCAGCTCACCACCACCACCACTGACCACCACCACCACCACCACCACCACCACCACCACCACCACCACCACCACCACCACCACCACCACCTCACCACCACCACCACCACCACCACCACCACCACCACCACCACCACCACCTCACCACCTCACCACCACCTCACCATCACCACCACCACCACACCACTACCACACCACACCACCATCACGCCCACACCACACACCACCACCATCATCAACACCACACACACCACACACCACACCACCATCATCATCATCACTACCACTATCAATATCATCATCATCACCATATTATTATTATTATTATTATTATTATTATTATTATTATTATTATTATTATTATTATTATTATTATTATTATTATTATTATTATTATTATTATTATTATTATTATTATTTATTTTTTATTTTTTATTTTTTATTATTATTATTTTTTTTTTACGGGAATTAGCCCACCCGGGCACAGGTCAAACGACCCACAACAGAGCCTGGGGGCGAAAAAAAAAGAACGGAAAGAAATTGAAAATATAGAAAAAAAGGTTACACTGTACTGTATTAATCTACACCACGAAGATCCCTTTACATAAGAAATAGTTGCAATTTGTTATAAAAATTTTTGCATAAAAGTATAAGTACTTTATGTTGAGCTCCATGTTCTTTGGGAGTATTAACAGTTGTGCAACTCTTTATATGGAGAGATATAAAAACACTGGCAATTATTTTGTAAGAAGATATTTTAAATGAAATGTATTCCTGATTTTATATCCATGCAATGTTCTTGAGAGCTGAGTTTCACTATAGAAAATAATTCTATACATGTGTCATTATAGTTGGTGAGACTTCATTCTTAATGAAAGTTGTTGCAGGTTTTGTGGATATTTTTTTTTTCATAAAATTATTTGAGGCAGTTTGTTTACTTTCTTTTTATTGAATGACTTTGTCACTTCACAATAGTCTTGAGCAAACATCCTTCCTCATGTCTTCCCTCTTCTTAGGCTGGCATCCTCCCAGGTGCACACATAAGCATTAGTCTGCAGCAGAATAGACAAACTAGCATTGCATTTACCAGTTACTTTGAAATTCCCTTGGTATAATTTTTTTCACTCGTCAAAGCCTTCTCCTGATATAGTGCAGGATGGCCACAATCAAGAGCAAGTCCACAAATATATTTTCCCTTCATTTGTTGTCATTAATGCATTCTTCCTGCTGTAAAGTACAGGGTGTATCAGATTAAAGATGTTTATGGTGCTTTTATTTAGGGAAGTAAAAATTGAATGATAAGAAGACATGTTTATGTGGCAGAAAATGTTACACTTTTCATGGGGTCAGTATTTAGGAGATAATTTTTTTCTTATACAGTGGTCCCTCAGTTAACAAACGGTTCAATTAACGAAATTTCAGTTAATGAATTAGCTCCCATAAGGATATTCAATTCGGTTCACGAACAAAACTTCGATTGACGAAATACTTACGACAAACACGTTTTGTTGTGAGCATCAGCTGATCAGCTGATCGGCTAGTCCGCCAATACAGTAATCTGTTCTATGTTTACATTCGTTTCCAGTGGAGTAAATATCAAGAAGGTTGTGTTCTTGAATATTTTTGCATTTTCTATATTAAAATTATTGGTCATTCTAAAATTTAGCCATCCAAGCTGTGTCTATATAAAGTTTATCAACTAATATTTTTGGCTCGATTATGTAACTATATTCATTTATTGAAACTCATTTACATGCACACACTGTCCTAAGGGCAAAGCTGTACTGTACATGTAATCAAAATAATGTACAAAATGGTTACTAAAATTTTTGTCTAGTGCAAACTATCGCATGTTTACATTCAAATTAATCACTATCTTGTAAAAATTCCAGCAATGTAAATTATATTCTCCCCAGTCACTTCTATGACATTTTATAAGCAAAAAACAAAAACTCGATCTAAAGGACATAAATAAACAAATAAATACTTCACTAGACCATCGGCGCGTGCCAACTGTCAAACATGTCACTGTCACCTCCTCTTCCTCCTGCCCTCACCCCCCCTACCCCCTCCCAGCCAGGGTTTGGTGGTTATACAGTAGGCTTTAAGTTTTTATATTATATAATATCACAGACTAAAGTTAGGAGAATATAATTTGCATTGCTGGAATCCTTGCAAGACAGTGAATAATTTGATTATAAAAACGTCATATATTTTGCACAAGAGATAAAAATTAATCACCTGTATCACATTACAGTATTGATTTAAGAGTTCTAGTGTATATGTACCTACCTATTTATATAGTGATTTAAGGGCGATTTAGGGGAATTTTAGGTTTGTTTCTGACTTTTTTGCATTTTTGGCTTTACTTTGCATGTACTGTACAGTACTTTTCTGTGAGCTGGAGTCAATTACCCAATATCCCATTGAAATAATGGATTCTGTTAACGAACGACTCTGGAACGAATTGTGTTCGTTAACCGAGGGACCACTGTACTGTACATTTAATATTTATGATTTATTTTTGTAACAATGCTGAACAGTCAACCATTTAGATGATACCTTCAACATCATTGGTTGCATTAAATATGGCTCATCAGTATTGAAAACAATATTGACTGCTAAATGTTAAGAAAACTGTTGCACAGTACTACTTTGGTAATACTTACTGATATTTTCAAGATTAATATGCCCCATAGATTGATATATTTTATACTGAGAGCATATGAAATTAATACAGAATCTTTCTGTTTCAGTCTTTATCATCTGCTGATGGTTTGGGTGATTCACCTGTCAGAAGTCATGACTCTCGTAGAAATTCACAGGATGACTCACGATGGCACGAACACCGAAACTGGAGTTTTATGGACTCAGAGGTCTCACATCGAAAGCATCACTATGACAATCATAGATTAAGGTGAGCATTTGGAAATAGATACTCAATGAGGTTATGAATAATGCCAGCATCTCAGAGGACATTACTCAACCAAGTGTTCATATCTTGATCTAGCAGATGCCTGCCCCATTAGAGCATTAGAGGTCACAGCCTTAGGTTAAAGAGGCCACAAGCCACAAGTATAAAAAATTGTCAGCTGACCTTTTTGGAGTAAAATTTGTGAACTCTTGGAATAACCTGCCAGAGAGCATTGTGATGGCACTGAGTGTGAGATAATTTAAGAGTAGAATTGACGAATACTGGCGCAGGTTCAGGTGCATTTTGGAGCCAGTACATGCCTCGTATTTGCCAACAGTACTTACCAGAGACATGGCTGACCACCCAAGTGGCAAACAGGTCAGTCAGTGGTAAAGGGGATAAAGTGAAGTTCTGTATGTCATACATTTCATTAACAGACACAGTGCCCTTTATTAATTAATAAGATTCAGTAGAAATGCGGTAATAAGGAGTGAATTCGTACATTGACCTGGTTTGCTACTTATAGGAAATACAAGGTTAGGTTCAAATACTTTAAAACATATGATCTCACCCACAGTAAATTAGAAAAATAATAAATACTGTATAGGTAAACATTCACTTTCACTATGCACCAAGTTAATATACTGTACATTGTTAACAAATGCATTCACCTAGGGATTATTTTGGTTACGTATAGTGATGGATGGTGTTGGTGGTACATGGTGGGCAAAGTGGTAGGCAGATATGGTGAGTAATGGGCAGGCATGGTGAATGATGGGGTAGCTGTCTTATGTTAGTGTGACAAAGAAGAAGCTAAGACTTTCACTTCCCACCCCCCTTTTTTTTTTATTAAAGGGACATAGTTGTGATTGGAAAGTAAATTAATTTTTCAATAAGTTCCAGATTAAAATGTTAGGGATCCCTGGAAACCTTGGGTTCTTAATTTGGAGGCTTGTCTATATGTACTATACTGTATTTGAGCTGCCCAATCCAGGTTCAACTATTCCAGACTCAGTTATAAAACTAGAATTCAGGATCAGTCCCTATTTACATCTTAAATATTAATATTTGGTAGTTGTAGTAACAAATTAGTACTGTACTGTAATTTGTAGGCATGTTATACCTCTTGTGATTTGAATTTGTTGAATAAAAATATGGAATAAGTTTCAACAACCTTTGAACTTGAAAGAAATTGCTTTATATCTTACTTTATTTTAAGAAAAATGTACCGGTAAGTGATTTAAAAAATCTTAACTAAGTGTTTGCTTTTGTTTGTCAATCAGACCTGGAAGATTACCAAAAGTAGAATCATTTGAAAGCAGAGATACCCTTCACCCAAGATCGTTACGACCGCCTGTGTTTAAATCACATAGTTTTGGGGGCTACAGTGGTGGAGTAACAGTATTGTCTAGAGGAGAGTCTGTGTCAAGCAATATCTCTTCATCTAGATTAAGTAAACAAGGTAAGAATTTTTTTTTCAATTATTTATTCATACATGCAGTAGTATCCTAGAAATCTAGTACTCTTGGAACCAACAGCACTTGGGATTTGTGAATTTTCCTTAACTGAAAAGGGTCAGTTGCCCCCCATTGAAACAAACCATGAAACTTTTCAGTGTTGAAGATCCTGAGATAAATGAGGGTTCACTATAATGTATTGTATTAATTCAATGCTGTTGAGCAGAATTTTATTACATAAGTCAGACATGGGCAACCTTTCCTCTGTCATGGGCCGCATTACGATTTAGATTTTTCTGCGGGCCAACCCACCAAAATTTATATCCTACCTAACCCAAAAGTAATGTTAATATTGTATTAGAGCAGACAGTGAAACAGTTTATCGTCATATCCACTCGATATTTTCAGTTTACAGTCTTTTCCATTTATGAAACAAATCCATCTTAATAATTTTTTTAAGTAAAATGCTAATGTTTCTTGGCATTTAATTGAAGATAAGTGAAGCAGTCTGTGAATACGTTGATTTTTCCTACAGTTACGGCATTTTTCTTACTTATCTTATGCAACACACCCACCAGAATAATGTCATTGTTAATCTGGCGCATGAGGAACTACAATGAAACAACGAAAGCTAAGGTGCTCCGTTGTTTCCCTTTTCCCGTGTGATTTTATCAAGATTTATCTTATCCATGTTTTCATTGTGGGTCTACATGATATATATATATATATATATGTATACAGTGAACCCTCGCTTTACGCGGTTTCACTTAACGCGTTTCTACATTTACACGGTACCCTGCCAGAACCGGAATTCCCACTTTATGCGAGGCATCTACTCATATACGCGGGTGAAGTATAATTTTTTTATTTAGCTCATAAAATTCA